TTAATAACTCTTTTTGTGTTAACAGAGGAATACTAATTAAGACACAACAACACGCCGAATAAATACTAATTCAGAAGTCAAACAACAAAAATTTGCGGTTTTGCAGCTGAGGATGGTGGTTCGGTAAAACCATCGAAACTAGTCCTGTGAAAATTTTGAAAATATAACGCTGATTTTCGTTGTTTGACTTCTGAATTAGAGGAATATTATATTGAGTTTGCTACACAGTTTAAGGAAACATTTGCTACCAATCTGTTTTATTACACTGCTTCACCTTTTGGAGAGGTCTAGTAGCTTGAGGTGTTTGGTCACGCGATATCTTTAAGATTAACCATCACTAGGAATGACAGAGTGTTTTGCTTTCTACTTATAGCAAACAAAATTTTGCATATGTTACAATTTTCCCAAGATTATTGTAACATATTTTATGCTAATCAACCAGTTATTTTATGTTCCTAATTTATGCTGCCACGTCTCCCTTTCCGTTTTCCTGTCAGAATGCAAAATTAACTCGCGTGTATTTAAGTGAGGGTTTGAGACTGTTTTAGTCACAGTGTGTTCTGCCTGCTGAAGGCCATTTTATTGGGCGTTAATTCTACGATAAGCATTCCTGTTTATGGCGTTGCTTTATTCTTGCAGATAGTGCTGTCACGCCGGTGTAGATTAAGGGTCAACTTGCACCTTCAAATATATCTGCGTAGCCTTTGGCTAAACAAGATTTAGATTTAGCTTTAATTTAAAATTCTGCTTTTGCGGTCTCGCCATAAATGCCGGCTGATTTATAAGCAACGGGAATGTCTTCTGTTCAACTTATCGAATTCTTAATAAACGGGTCTTTTACACTCTAGTACGTTTCTCTTTGCTTATCTAGACATAGCGATAAGTCTATGTAGGAGTTTTGACTTAGCGTATGTTGTCAAAACGAGTGAGATTATATACTGACGCCCGAACTAAAATAAGGAACATGTCTCAAGGAAATTCTACGTTTAGGCTGGCTTCCTCAATGCCGCAAGCCTCACCGGCACCAGTTAGTCTGATAGAGGAATTTAGCTTCATTGTAGACACTAATGCAGGCAGCCATGAAACCCATAGCGGCTTTTAATGAAAAACGTTCGCTAAGTTATTTTCTTGAACATTTAAATTCGCATTTTGCAGTATATCAATACCAGAAGTGAAAAGTTCATAATAGCAATCACCATGTTAATAGGTCATGCTTTAAAGTGGTACAAATGCATTGGAAAATTGGTGTTGGGTGACCCAGAAAGCGACATCTACAAATTCGAAATATTTAAAAATGCACTCGTCAAACCTTTCCCCCTTGTAAAAGATAGGGCCAGGTTAGAAGCAGAACTTTTGACTAAATTTCAGTTTAAAGTTGAAAACCTGGCTGAGTTTATATTATGGAAAAACCAAAGCTTTAATTTGTTGTACGGCAAGAGGCCTGACGAAGAGATAATGCAAGTTATATTGCCTAAGTTGCTGCCTCAAATACACCATTTCTTTGAATTAAGAAACCCAACGACACTCGAGCATCTGTTTGAACGCGCTATGGAATCTGAAAGCAGAAGAATGAAAGTTGCTATACAGGTATTACGGAAAATACTCGAATAGCAGGATATGGCCAAAGGCCGAATGGACAAATTTCTAGGCCTGCACCACAGTGAATGCCACAGTTTGACCAGAATAAGCATTTTGGAAATGGGCAAAATGAAAGGCCAGAATGAAAGGCAAAAGAGAAGACATGAGGGAGGAACTAAGTAAAATTTAAACTACGCAGAGGTACTGAAGATAAAGGGTGTAGTTATCCCGGAAGCAAGAAAATTCCTCTAAAATTCAACTAAGTAACTGTCAAAACTTTGGCGCTACCATTAGTGCAAGTATTGCTGAATAGTGTCCCTGCGGATGCATTGTTAGACAATGAAGCTCCGTTCAGCTTTCTATCGAAACATTTTTTCTGGGAGTACTTTTGAAGGTATACATTGTTTAGCGTTATAGGAGCCGCTCGAGGCAAACAATGTACTTGCTTAGGGAACATTGCATATTCAAATTAAGGATGAAGAACAAAAAGTAGTGTTTTTATTGCAAAAATCTCCAAGCACAAATAATTTTAGGGATATTGGCGGAGGCTAAAATAAATTTTCAAGCTGCCTCATTGCAGCTGGATATGAAGAACATGGAGGAAGAGGAAGCATAACCTCCGGAGATTGAAATTAAGCATCTATCAGCAGAGAACAGAACATATATTGGAGAAAGTGATAAGCCAACTTTCTGTATTATTTAATAATAATCTAGGACATACTCAGATTGTGAGCCACAGTACTGACACTAGAAACGCCTTCCCTATAAGAGCAAAGCCTTATCTTTAAACTATAAAGAGCAAATAATAGAAGATCATACACAGGAGATGTTAAAAAATACAATTATAATTCCGATAAGTAGCCCTTAATCGCTAGCCCAGTGTTTCTATGCCGAAAAAAAAAATCTTCTACCTACAGATTACAAAGCGTCGCGATTCGCAGTTGAACTGGCAGTTGTTAGGAAACTTAACAGTGTTAATAAATATCCTGTCTATCCCTCCCATAATTGAAGAAATAATAATTTAAATTTCAATCTATAAAGCACATGACTACATTAGATCTGACTTCAGGCTACTTTCAAATTTGCGTAAAGCCAGAAGATCCTCCGAAAACCACATTTATCATAAAGGTCAAGCTTTTATGCCTTTCAAGAATGCCGTTTGCCTTATGCGGAGCTTCAAAGAGCCATGGACATGATTTTGAGACTGGTCCTAGGTAGAAGCATGTTTATTTATTTAGATAACATATTAATTACTAATGATACGATTTTCTAACCCATTAAGGACTTACCTGAAATATTTTCGCTTCTGAACGAAGCAGAACTACAAGTAAATGCCTCAAAATGTAAATGTGCGGCCACGGAACTTCGTTGATTGCGATATAAAATATCAAAAAAGGGAACTGAAACAGAAAACTCAAAACTAATGGCTATGAAAAATTATTTTCTGCCTAAGACTGCAGTGAAATTATCTTCATTTTCAGGCATGTGTTCAGATTATAGGACTTTTATCAAAGATTTCGCTAAAATTGTTGAGCACTTGTTGAAGTTAAAAAGAAAGAAAATCAGATTTACTTGGTCAGCCGAAGCAAATGCTGCATTCGAACAACTTAAACAAGCATTAATTCAAGCCCCGGTATTAAACATTCATAAGGCGATAAAACACTTGGAAATCGCTGCTAATGCCACTACGCAGTGGATACTGTTCTAACTCAAAAACGTCAACCGGTTGCATATTTTAGTAAAACTCTCATTCCCACACAGAGAAATTATGCGGCTACAGAAAGGGAAACGCTAACAGTTTTGACAACAGTTCAATTTGACAGCAATTTAGAATATGTTTTGGAAAAGCTCCCATTACAATATATTTGGATCGCGCGGCTCTGAGTCGTTTGTACTCAGGAAAGAAGTTTCCTCCAAGGCTAATTAGATGGGCCCTTGAATTTTAAAAGTTCAACCTAATTATTAAACATAAATCTGTGAAGGAAAATATAGTGGCCGATGCGTTGTCAAGAATAAAATTAGATGAGGAGGGAAATACGCTAAAGTATGCTATTCTTACTGCCTTGATTCTCGCGAAATTATTATTGCTGAATTACAAACAAACGCCGAATTTAACAACATTTATGCTTATTTTAAAGATCCTAACCATACTAAGCATCAACACATTACGGAAATTAGGATTAGAGCTGAAAATTATGAAATCATCGACAACCTTTATTTTAAGCAAAAACTGCCAATGAGAATGATGAATTCAGACCGGTTACCAAAGCATTTTTTGGAGACATTGCATGATTAGCCAATTGCCGTCAACCTTGGAATAAGGAAAACAGTACAGCGAGTTCGCGAGACTGTTTTATTTTCCACCGCTGGAGCAATTTGTTAGTTAGTATGTCAAGTCATGCCATATTTGTCATTTAGTTAACGAAATACCATATTTATCAGTTAGTAAACGACGTTAAGTATAGCCCGTCCGAGAATCTAAATAACATAAAGTCACTTTTCGCAAATGAATTAATAGAAATTCACTTATTAGGTACACACCTACATAGTGAAGTCAACAAAAACAGATATTTACTCGTTATCGTGAATAATTTTTCTAAGTGATTTTTAAGTAGTCCCCTTCAAAAGAGTCTCCGAAAAATTGTTTCAGATTCTTTTCTAAATAAATATATTTGAAATATGAAGCTCTATTAAAAGTAATTTCGGGTAAAGGAAAACAATTCGTTATTAAAATATTTGGGGGATTATGCGCAGGCCTTGTCATACGGCATTTAAAAATAATACCTTATCGGCCGCAGTCAAAGATAGCCGAGTGGGTGAACAAAAATATAGTTAAGATTATATGTTAGTATGTAAAAAAACTATTATAAGCGCTAAGACGACTGCGTTAATAAATTAGCATTTATATTGATAACTTCTCACATCTGTATAAAGTAATGAAGTTTCATTAATATCAAATAAAATGCTGTTGCCTTAATTAATGACAAAATGATTCGTAGTAACAAAATAGACACGAAAGAAGTTCGTTTCAGAGAAGGAATGCTATAAATATTTCTTGATTTTTTACAAATAAAACCGTGTTTCGCTAATGAAATCTAGGGGCGAGTCCGGTAAACCAGGCGAAAATGCTGGGTTTAATTACTTGCACCAGTTTTAGACGTTAGAAACTTTTATTTCATCGATGTAAAAAGTAAAACGCTATTTTTGTATTGCGGGCCCTAGCCATTTTAGGGCTTTTGCCACTACTAAGGCCCGAACAGCGGTCATTTTATTACGGAAGCACCTAACAGGCGACCACCGTTACTTCCTATGAAGGAACAGATAATTTACATCCATGCAGTCTGTGAGATTCAAACTCAGGTCTTTCGGTGCACCAGTTCCCCAACTCACTCTATTCTATTATAAATAAATGAAAATGAGCATTATGAATTAAATACTTTTATTATTCTATTATTTTAAATGAATGGTAGTGAGTTATACCAAGTGCAACTCCTCTTCAACTTCTTCAAAGATTTTCTCATCATATTTAAGTAACATTTGATAAAGCATTTGAAACAGTTATTTTTATCATTCATAACAGTCATTTTTCATACCTTATGGTTCTGTTCAAAGTCTTATTTTAAAGATCCTAACCATACTAAGCATCAACACATTACGGAAATTAGGATTAGAGCTGAAAATTATGAAATCATCGACAACCTTTATTTTAAGCAAAAACTGCCAATGAGAATGATGAATTCAGACCGGTTATCCAAAGCATTTTGGAGACATTGCATGATTAGCCAATTGCCGTCAACCTTGGAATAAGGAAAACAGTACAGCGAGTTCGCGAGACTGTTTTATTTTCCACCGCTGGAGCAATTTGTTAGTTAGTATGTCAAGTCATGCCATATTTGTCATTTAGTTAACGAAATACCATATTTATCAGTTAGTAACGACGTTAAGTATAGCCCGTCCGAGAATCTAAATAACATAAAAGTCACTTTCGCAAATGAATTAATAGAAATTCACTTATTAGGTACACACCTACATAGTGAAGTCAACAAAAACAGATATTTACTCGTTATCGTGAATAATTTTTCTAAGTGATCCAAGACTTTGAACAGAACCATAAGCGATGCAATTTGAACTCATTTTAATAACGACTACTCACAACCCCCAAATCAAAACATAAAATGTGATACTAGTACTGTAAAATTCTTGTTAAGTTCTACATAGATATTAAATAAATGATTCTGGATTTATATTCTGAAGTTACGTCATTTAGGCTGTTGAGCACAAGCCCTCATGCCGAACATAGACCTTCTTTTTCTTACGACAAGAATCAACTCTCATTTGGCATTCTGTGTTGTAAGTAAATCCATCACTTCCGCAGACAGGACTGTAATGCTCCTTGCAGCTTGTTGGACATCGACACGAAGATCGATTGTTTTCTTCATAACAATCTCCATTGAAACGGCAATATTTTTTCTCGCAAGGTGCTACGAAAAGTAAAAAAGAAATTAATGTAAATAAAATATAGTCTTATCTTAAAATGTAGAAATTATAATTGAATGAGGAAGCACAAAGATATTACATAATATTAAAACTGGGTACTCACTGAAGCTTGATTGAAAAATTTACTTTGGACTTCATTTTTGAAATCCAGACTAAATTGATAAATTTACTTTATTTCTTCTCAGCAAATTCATAGAACTTACATTTTTAAATCACTCAAAATCGTATACCACTAGCTTATATAACTTTTTTTATCATTTATTAATTTTCCATGCCATGCATGTTTTACTAATCTCCTGCTGGGGGACATATAAGTTTGTGCGTCTCAAAATCTATTTTCTTGCCAATTCATATCATACTTTTCACCTTTGTTAATAGATTCAAAAGTGTAGGAAAACTAAATTATAAGCGATAAGAAACATGCAGGACTCAATATTAAGCGCAGAATTTTATCTTATGAAAGCACTGAAAAGTAATTAAAACAGACATTTCTCTTTGCTATCAACAATTAAAAAACTTGACAAGAAAGTACTAGCTTCATGAAAAAACATAAATTTATCCACGAAGAAAGAAACCTATGTCTCCTTCCTCACAGACAGCAATTAAAATACATCCAGAATTTGATATTTTGATAATAATGTAACAAATATTTGCTATGTATAATTTAGTATTCCTGTTTCTTTCTTCTTTGCGTTGAGTTGCTTTATATTACCTTAATCTCTATCCTTTTTATTTAGATTAAAATGATAAGATTTATTTTTCTTACAGACTGAGACTGCCTGTTTACTTCATTAAATGATGAACTGTTTCCATTTTCGAAAGAATTTAAGCGGGAGTTTTTCAGATAACATCTAGGCTGAACAATAAAATATACTGAGGCTAGATGTTGGTGAATATTTTCAATACTTTTTCTCGCTCATCTGAAATTGAATCCGAAATGCATTTAAGAGCTCTACCTTTTTGCTATTTTCCTAGTAATTTATCAAAAAATTGTTTTATATTTTTATATTTGCTTTTACTACCGATTTCAAACGCGTTTTTACGCTTGCATTTTTATTACGAATTTCCACAACCTTCATCTAGGAGTTTTATTTGTCACCGTTTTCTTCAACTACTTGCGCTCTAGCGCTTGCTGTTTCCGTAATTTAGATTTTGAAATTAAGCCACTTTATTAGCTTACTTTATACTTGATTATTAATTTATACTTGATTTTTCATTTTTTTATATGCACTCACAATGTCACCACGGGAAAATAGATCAGACATAATTCGTAAAATTCTATAACAATTACCTCCAAATTTCACAAGAAAACAGTTAATCGAGCTTAACTGTTAACTGTTTATTAATGAAGTATTATTAGAAAATAAGAACATTTACATACATTTAGGATTTTTGTAATCTATAAATGCTTACTAATGCTTCTTAATAAATTTGGCAGAGGGCACTAATTAGAACATATTATGAAATCTGATTTTGACGCAAGTTCCATTTCTTCCGTAAATCAGCCCAGCATAGTGTAAAGAACTGACATCCTTGTAAAAATGTCTGTAGCTCTAAGGAGTAACAGACAGGGATACAGGAGCAGAGATAATTCTTGGAGAAAGTAGCAAATATTTTGGATGGAAGAGAATATGTTAGCCTCAACATCCAAATTAATTTTGAAATTAGGCCAAAAATGCAATTTAGCTCGGAGTAGATTTTGAATAAAACTCAGCAGATTTCTTTTTTTTTGGGGGGGGGTGATCAAACACAGGTCTCTTGTTCCTTTAAAGAAAAAAACCTTTTCTTCTGGTTCCTTGTTTTTGGTTGAACGCCAAAATCTTCTCCGAACTAAGATTGCCTTTTTGCTTAATTTTAAAATTTCGCATTACATGTTTCTTTTCCAATTTGGATCCGTTTAGTCTCTTCAGTTCGCTTTATACGGATAAGCCTAGTCATTTATTTTAAAAAAAAAAATATGGACTGACTATTTCAGCATAAAGCCACACACAAGGTTTTAAACGACTTAGTCCCGATATCTTTAACACTCCATAGTGCTGCTTATAATAGTCGGTGTGGTATGCCAAGGAAAAGCAAGTCCATACCATTATATTACATCGATTTTGCCGTGCGTAGCTTAAGCCAAGTTTTGCCTCCCTTGGACTAGTTGCCCTAGTGTGCTTTGTTGCATTCATATTGTAGAGACATTAGGATTTTTTTTGGGAAGCAGGAAAGATGAAAAATAGCAACCGCCTTCGCCGGGAATCGAACCACGGACCTCTGGAATACCGGCCCAGCGTGCAGAACCACTACACCACGAAGGCACGCTAGGAAAGCGGGAGAATTGCCTTACAATATGAACAAACAAATAGTACACTAATAAATTCAAACACTTCGTATTCAGCTAATTGCTCGTTGTAGACTAATTGCTTGTTACTATTTTTCTTCAGGGCATCATATATTTACTATCCGAATCTAGGAATCATCCTAATTTATCTATGAAAAGAACTTAGAATTTATGCTTGTGTCAAAGTTATATGTTAACTGTGCCATTTTAATCGTGCTTCTCAGGCTAAGACTTTCAAACGGGCACACAGTTTTGGTACCGATGCGTACAGACTTCTTGCATATAGCCTTCGTCGTCCTGCAGTATTTTTGCATATCAAGCCTTTTACAACCGATATAATAGCAGCATATGTATGCTACTGTAGAACGCATGATAAATCCTTCATAATATCGATTTAAATTACACTTAAATCAACATTATGTTAAATTCGTCGAGTTTCTTATAATAGCGTACATATGCTGCTCATTATAAACATTTCAACCCTTATGAAGCATTCTCGAAAGTTGCCACTAAATTTAAGTTCATTTTAATATAAAAAGCTTAAAATGATACAAAAAAGGTGTGTTGTGTTGTTGTTGTTGCGACTTACCTCACTTGTCTGACAGTAACATCAGAATAATCCCACGAAATTCATCGTGGAAAGGAGAGTAAGACTGGGCCTGTTGTTGGCCAGACTCGGGGGGGGGACCGGTCCGAGGGACACCCACCCCTCTTTCTCTACCACAATCTCTCGAAAGGACTTTCGATTGACCATGTATTTAAAGTGCCTTCATGCAGCAAAGACTCTATGCATTTACAAACATCCATGCCTTCTCCGGGATTCGAACCCGGGCCCTTACCGGTATCGTATTAGGCTTCCCTAACTACTACACCGCCTCCGCGGCCCCCCAAAAAAAGGTTAAAATAATTATTAAAACAGGACAATTTTTAAATATTTTCTTATACCCCAAAAAATAAAAAAATAATACAACACTAAAAATATCAAAATGTTACATATTTTGTAAAGAATTCAGAATATTTTCTCACTCTGAAAAATGTAAAAATATTGCATATTTTGTAAAGAACCAGGGTGAAAAGTTACCTTCCCCTGAAAATGTATAAAATTAAAATTTCAAAGTTTTTCTCAATTTCAGTTTATTTTTAGCAACAATATAAATTCTTTTAAATACCCTTTTGGTTTAATATCCATGAACAAAACAGATATTTTCTGAGCTGACGCTTCAGAATTATATTTTTCATGCAAATCATTAAGAAAATAAGTCAAAGATTAAGTTTATGACAAGTTTTTATTTGTAAAATTTAAAGCTCTAATATTTAATATTTCTGACATTTGCTTAGAATTACTTTTAGGAACTCAAAAGGTAACGTATCATAAAACTTTTTCTCAGATATTCTGCTAACTGCTGATCTTCAAGAATATAAAAATTTTGAAATTTTTCCATTAATTCTTCTGATAGATTTTGACATTTACAAATACATTTCCAATCAACCTTATCTTGAAAATTTTCAATAAATTCTTAAGTTAATTATTGATTTTCAAAAATACATTTCCAATCAACTTTATCTTAAAGTTTTTCTATAAGTTCTACTGTTTCCTGATATTCAAAAACACATTTCCAATCAACTTTATCTTTAAAGTTTTCAATAAATTTTTCCGATAATTTTCAGAAATATACGTTTCCAAAGAACCTTATTTTGAACCTTTTCTATAAATCTTCTGGATCATGAAACTGTTGAATAAAATTTTTGTTCTTTCCTGATATTCTTCTGCCATTTATTTAGCAATACATTTAGAAGCGTCAGCTCCGTTGACTTATTTAATCTAAAATTGATTAATTTTTACATATATGTGTTTAGTTTCTCTTATTATTTTAATTGTTTCTGTAAAACTGAGTTTGGTTACATTTTCATTGCACATTTTAAATCTTTTTCCTTTTTCGTAATTAGTATTTAAAATATAGTTATAGTTCTCAAAAGCAACAGATATCCATGATATTTTCATTCATTTTCTTTCAATTCATCTGCTCATTAACCTGACATACATCCTGTTTCTATTTTATTGTCAATATAATAATAGAACTTGTATCATAATATAAAACGTTATATCTTAATTTATCTAATATTTATAAAGCAGAACTGGTAGTAAAAGCTGATATATACATACATACATTTGCATTAAAATTATCTTGCATATGTTCATTTGTCATAACTGATTTTCATACAATTACCTTTCTTAAAAATAATATTTAAATTCTTTATCTTATCATTTAATATAATTTTATAAAAATGTTCCAATTCTGTAACATATTCAGTTTGTTTCATATTTTTTCTTGGGCTAAAATTTGCTTAAATTCCTTGTAGGGTAACTACAAGGAATTTAAGCAAATTTTAGCTATATGTTTCATACCTGGATTTATTTTTATTTTTTCTAAATCGATACCTAGTTTTTCTTTAATAGCTCTTTCATACTCTTTATTTTTAAAATGATTAAACCATTTATCAAATGTTCCTAATTTGATTTTAAAAACACTAGCATATTCTTTGAATATTTTTTTTGTTTCCTTTAAAAATGGCATACTTCATATATATTTAAAATTTTGTATCCTTTTTCAATAGCTAATTGCTTTCAATAACTTTACTCTTTCTCTTCTCGACAAT